CCCCAAAACCCCAAAACCCCAAAACCCCAAAACCCCTTTTATTTAACAGATAATTGATGTGGCTTAATTTAAATACCTTTCCAAAGTCTTCAAATGCGTGTGTCCTCTTGTTGTAGGATTTCACTATTCCGGTTTTTGAGTCCCTACTTACCCGTTTGGGTGTCCTCGTTCGAGCATCTGCTCAGCTATAGAGTTCAGAAGCTAAACAAGGCTTTTAAAGGAAGCCAGCAAGTTTATTGGATGAAATAGGGAATAACTCACTTTAGAGTTCGATTGGGTCTTGGAAAGATAGAAAGATTGCTGATTTTTAGAATGCTAAGCTCCTTAAACAGAATCTTTACTCGAATGAGCTAGGAATCCCCATATTTCTTAAATTGGGAATTCAAGTAATAGATTCTTTCTTACATCTTTTCTATTTTAGAAGTAAAACTTGCAATACTACTATTGAGATTTGTCTAAGATCCAGTTGAGGGAATGCCCATATTATTTGAAACCATAACTCTCTTCTATTCTAAAGATGATTAGCTGAAGAAAAGATAGAATTTTTAAGCTTTTTAGTAATGTGATTTATTCCTAATACTAAGGGCATGGGCGCCCTTATGGCAATTCAAAGTGATCTTGCTCCTTCATAAAGTCAATGAGGTATGAGGTAACTACTTCAGAGGTGTCGATCATTGTTTTCATATGTCCTTCAATCTCGTCTTCTTTACATTGGGTGAAATCATCAGTGATGCTCTTCAAGAAAGTTTCTCTTTTTGGCAAGAGATAGAAAATTCCCTTAACAGTATTTCTCAGGAAGAAGCTATGATACCTTGACAGCTCCTGATCATAGGCTTTCCTAACTGCTGATGAGAGTGACTCCTCTTTGTTAGCATGAAGGTTCTCAATGATTCTCTGCAGAAGGAGAATAAATCTTAGCAATCTTTCAATACTCCTGCAAGAACCAATATGCTTATAGAATTCAGACTTCTTATCGAATCCTAAGGACTTGTTATTGCTTCCGTTTGCCTGACCCAGACCGTAGGAGATTTCGACTTCGAAGAGCTGCTCTACTGATTTAATTTCCTCTCCTTTTTCAATCCACTTCTCTCTATTTTCCTTAATGATCTTGCACTTGGTAATGATATCAGAGAATCCTACTTCTACTAGCTTGCCCATGGTTTTGAGCATGAGGACGAAGCATTCTCAGTACTCACAGAGCATGTCAATGTCGATTGATCCTCAGCTTTCGGAGACATTCTTTGACATTTCGATCATTTTATGCAGGTCAAATTTATCTTCCCCTCCTTCCATGTTTGGCAAATTTAAATAAAATTTTATAACGCTATATTTCTTTGCGGGGTTTTGGGGTTTTGGGGTTTTGGGGTTTTGGGG